ACAAGACTGACACCTAATATCATCGATCATCTTCCTAATTGTGGTCGACTGGATCATACAACAAACAGTGAGGAGAGAGAAGATGAGCGTCCACTGTTTGACTGATGGAAAGATCCTACAAGATTTGAATATCGGTGATCTCTATTTATTTCTAACAATGTCTTGTCGTGCAAAGGGGAGATCTACAGGCGAAAACGAACAAATTGACAGAAGGGGTGAGGCAACGAAGACTGAACTTCCTCCAAGTGAATGTAGAGAAGACACGGGTGATGAAGATACTCAACCAATAACAACAACGACAACAAGAAGCACCAATCACCATGAAGGGGAGAAACCTAAGAAAGTAGTCTCTTTCACCTGCCTAGGGAAGGCAGCATCGTTTCAACTACAGGTGGGACACATGAAGACCTCAAATCCAAAATCTGAAAAGCAAGACAGGCTTTCATTAAGTTGAAATCAGTATGGAGATCTACTGCACTCAGTATAAAGTGTGAACAGCAGGCGGATTTCCAACAGTAATGTCAGTCAAGTCAGTGCTTCTACACGGTTCAGAAACGTGGTGAGTCACGGAAAGCATTTCCAACAAACTACAGGCATATATCGACAGATACCGTCTACGTTTACTTTATACTGAAAACCAGATGGCCACAAAAATAAGCAACAAGGAACTCTGGGAACTAACTAACCAAGAACCCACTGCTTAACAGATATGCACAGGGAGAAAGTTGAGATAGACTGGACTGGACATACACTAAGAAAATCGTTCGCATACATCATGCGCTAAGCCAGGCCATCGAATGGAATCCAAAGAAGAAACGACGAGTTGGGCGTCCGAGGTGGGGGTGACATGGACGAGATCATGGGAGGAATAAATGAAAGCTTATGGGCAGTCGTGCAGCCAAGTTGAGAAGACACGAGAGAAGAGAGTGAAACGGCTATGTGCTACTGAAGCCCTATGTTCCACTTGGAACCCAAGGGACACGTGGTTTGTTCTTCATGAAGCCAGCCAGCCTGTTTCGGTCCTAAGTTTTAATCCAACGCATCTTTTAATCTCTCAAGGATGATGTGGCTTAATATTTTCCTTGGGGTGGACAGCATCATGATTCCGCACCACTTCTTGCACATACTTAGGTCTCCCTTCTTTTGAAGTTTGACAAGGTAGCCCTTTTTCCAATCGCCAGGTACCTTTCCTTCGTTCCAAATCTTCTGCAGTAGTGGTGTGAGCGTGTCCGCTGATGTATCTGGGTCTGTTTGCAGTGCTTCTGGCGGAATTCCATCTGGTCCTGCTACTTTCCCGGATTTCAGCAACTTTGTAGCTTTCAGGACTTCTGCTTTTGTCGGAGGGCTTGTGTTCACTGGTAATTCTGCTGTCGCTGGTGGTATTTCTGGCAGAGTTGCACATAGTGGTCGATTCAATGTAATAGTTTCTGAGTAACTAAAAAAACTTCCATTATGTGACTCACTCTATAAGAACGTTTAAGATAAACTTTGCAGAATTGGATGATGAACGAGTGTCACTAAACTGCCTGGTTGTAGCTAGCAGAGGAATCCAGGACATGCGTTTCTTCCTATTTGGGAGTCGTCAGCTGTACATACCTGCACTGAAGTGATGTCGTTCCCAGTGAGACTCTAACCTCATACCCATTGTTTCAAACGCCAAAGCATTATCAGCTGTACCGCCGAGGGACGATAGCCACTTCTTGTACAACGGGTAGTAGTTATTAATATTCAATGATATACTTGTAATTCTCCATTGTTTTATTCGATCGAATTGTTCGACCTTTGTTGGCATATGGGCTCTTATGTGAATGCCCTGATACTACCTGAGTGTTAATTATGGTAATTTATTTGGTTGTGGCTAGTATAGGAATCCGGGATACGCGGTCCATCCCATTTGGGACCCGTCAGCTAGATGTTCCTGCACCCCAGTGGAGAGTGATGTTGTTCCCACCTAGACTAGACTTGAACCCCTTACTCATCGCTTCAAATGCCAAGGCGGTAACCACTATGCCACGGAGAGATGATAACCGCTTCTTGAAGCTATGCGTACGAGGTTCAAGTCTCGGTGGGAACAACATAACTGGAATGCAGGTATATCCAGATGACTTGTGAGTCCCAAATAAGATGAAACGCGTTTCCTGGATTCCTCTGCTAGCCACAATCAACCAAATTATCATAACTAATATTCAGGCAATATCAAGGCATCCGCATAGGTCCCCATATGCCAACAGAGGTCGAACAATTCGATCCAATAAAATTACGGAGAATTACAAGTAAATGGCAATGAATTTAACTGTTAAAATAAAATTTTATTCATCCTCAGTGGGAGGAAAGTGTATTCATGACCGATATCCAATCAGAACATTTTAGAAAATCGGAAGCAAAATTAACCTCTAATTTGGTCAAACTTTTCAATCCTATAGGATCTGGATTTCCATATTTATATCGATAGTCTCAAATTCATAAAATTAATAATTCCATAGGTAATTTTTTTATTTATTGAAAGATACTTTTTAGCTTGTCTTAGTAGTATGAACACTAAAAATCAGACTGTCTACTCTTTTAATGTAAATTTTTTTTTATTCAGTAACGTGTCCCTGTCCGAGATTATTAACATTCTCTATGATCACATATCTTCTAGAAATCTTGAATTCCTTATTTATTCGACTTTTGTGAAAGAACTATTATCGCTATATACCGACGAAATTCATTACTCAATTGAAGGTGAATACTTTTGACATGTTGATGATGTAGTTATGTGAAATCCTTTAGGACCCCTAAAATCTGACTAATGATCTCATCGTTAAAGTTTATTTTTACAAGAGATTTGTCTACGACATAATAATGATCTGTAAAAGACATGAGGAAATGATATATCTAAGGAAAAGACTTAACATCATATAAACTCATATTAGCCTGACTTATGGAAAATAGAATAATAACCATTCTGCTATTCTTAGATATACGCTTGAGTCGACAAGAAGATGGTTCAACAAGACGGTCAATCTACACGAAGATGCCTGAATTTTCAAATAAAACTGAAATATAGTAAAATGCTTGATTAATAGGATAGGTGATGAAGATTTCAAATTATTGACCGAAAGATATGGAAAACCAATATACGTTGAAGTTAATAAACCATTATGGAAGTCAACTACCGCCAAAGCTAACTCTACATATGATTCCTTCGAAAAACGTCCATGTCACTGTTTCATACAGAGTTGAATAGAATAATTTCCAGACGAAGGCTAATACTAGCCATTAAGAAAACATAATACACAGCTAATCTTATTATTGTGGAGAAAACTAAACTTAGACTTCATCACAAGTTGAAACACCGCACAAATGACAACGTCACATCCTATTGTGTTTACCAATTTACATGCATATGAGGTCACATATACATAGGGAGGAGTAATCGGGCCATACAGTTAGGGGTGGGAGAACATGTACCTAAGTGGCTTCAAAAACAAATGTCATGTGAAACCTTGATAAACCCAGGTAGGAAACAACGTTTTCCATCTATTATTATTATTACTACTGTTATTTGTCCCTTGGGTTCCTAGTGGAACATAGGCGTTCAGTTGCACTTAGCCATTTTAATCTCTTCTCTCCAGTCTTCAAAACCTGGCTCCATAACTGCCCACAAGCTTTTTTATTTCTTCCTCACACCATTTCCTTCATGTCACCCTCACCTCGGACGCCCAACTCGTCTTTTCTTCTTTGGATTGCACCTGACAGCCTGGTGGATAATGTCGCCAAATGGTCTTCTCAGTGCATGTCCAATCTAATCAATCACCTTCTCCTTCTTCTGCATATTTGTTGGGCGATAGCTCCTTGGTTGGCTGGCTCGTTGCCAGCCATAGTTAGTACTCTGTTGCTTATTCTTTTTATTCTAGCCTTCTCGTCTGATCTTCATTATCCAGTGAGCACATGCGGCAGGTGTTGATGAATGACTTTAGTTTGTTGCAAATACTTTTCGTAACGCACCAAGTCTCTCAACCATCATATACAAACACTGACTCACTTGACTGAATTAGTGTTGAAAATCAGGATTTTATTCATGCTTTATGCTGAGTGCACTGCAGTGCACTGGAGAGCAGTAGAATTCCACACTCATTTCAGATTGATGCAGGAAGGCCTGTCTTGCTGTCTTTCTGATACTGGCCGCCTTAACATTCTCATCTATGCATGTGCGGCCTGTAGTTGAAACGATGCTGCCTTCCCTAGGCAGGTGAAAGAGACTACTTTTCTTAGGTTTCTCCCCTTCATGGTGATTGGTGCTTCTTGTTGTCGTTGTTGTTATTGGTTGAGTATCTTCATCACCCGTGTCTTCTCTACATTCACTTGGAGGAAGTTCAGTCTTCGTTGCCTCACCCTTCTGTCAATTTGTTCGTTTTCGCCTGTAGATCTCCCCCTTTGCACGACAAGACATTGTTAGAAATAAATAGAGATCACCGATATTCAAATCTTGTAGGATCTTTCCATCAGTCAAACAGTGGACGCTCATCTTCTCTCTCCTCACTGTTTGTTGTATGATCCAGTCGACCACAATTAGGAAGATGATCGATGATATTAGGTGGCAGTCTTGTCTTACTCTTGTCTTCATTTCAGAGGTATCACTGAGCTTTGCATTGTGAATCATTTGGTATGTGGCGTCTTCATATAGTTGTAGAAGGAGGTTGATAAAGGTTTGTGGTATTCTATAGTGTTGAAGCAGGTGCCTGCAAAATTATTTCTTGGTCAACTCTGTCAAAGTGCTTTTTTAAAATCGATGAAGTTGACGTAGAGAGTTGACTATTATTCTATGCTCTATTCTCTGATGATGCATAGCGATTCACCTAACATTTTTGTTTTAGATGGATTAATACTCTGCATTTCTTCACTGATACAATATAAATTTAATGGTATAATATTGTCTATAGAGTTTCTGTGTTGTAAATTTTAGATTTTTTGGTATACTACTTAAATAGTTTTATTACCTTTTCTCTTTATAATAGGTTATCAAATTGATTAGTGAACTATATATGAAGTCAGTAATGAATAAAGAGAGTAGATCACAAACAAAACGATTACGTAGACAAGTTGAAGAATTGAATATTGAATTGGATAAATTTAAATCCACTATAAAGTATAATCAACGTTCTCTTATGGAATGTAAAAAATCACTTGGTAGGTAGAATGTTAACAGTAACAGTTGATATAAACTTTTATTCATTCTATTTGTTAAGTATATTGAAATGAAACGAAAAAGAGTCATATTGAGATTGAGAAGATATATCGATATGTATTATTTATAAAGTCTTCAGCTTATTGTTAACTTCTCTGACTTCAGCATTTAGGTGATATGATTCTGAATTATAGAGTGGACAACACTTCCATCGAGATTGTAGATATATCTTGCTGACGAATATCAAAAAAGATGCTATTGCCATCCAACTAACGTAAATTCTAAAGTTTAACTTTTATAAGGCAGTAGTTTTGTTTAACTTGTCAACTAATTGCTGATTATATCAATTTGTGAGCAAGCACAACCATGATTCAATGTTATCAGTGGATATTCACCTGAATATCGATTTGACTAACCTTACAATTCATGAATGAATTTTTGAGTAATCCATTTTGGAACTAGTTACTCAGACCCAATATAGATAGACAAAATAAACGTAGAACTATTCAAACAAGTGCATTGATTCAAGTTTTCACACTTCACAGTAGCATAAAAGAACAATTGTGTAGAGAGAGACAGACTTATACAAAAATAGATAAAGGTGTATGAGATGAGAAGAAATTTCAAAATAAAGGTTAGTCAAAACATTCGAGGAATAAATGACATCAAGGTGTGAATACATCTCCACTATTGTGACTAATTTTTTATCCCCATTTTATGGAGGTCTCCCTCTCGTCACCTGATTACACAGACGTTGACCCAATCACAGGTGAATTTTCTTTAGATCTAGAATATGCAGATGACATAGTCCTGTTAGGTGAAGACGCTGACAAGATGCAGAGTCTTCTGAACACTTTGAGTGGGAATTTGAGAATGTTTGGGATGCAATTTTCACCACCCAAATGCAAATTTTTGCTCCAGGACTGGTCTTCAGCGGTATCGCGGCTAACAGTAGAGAGTGAAGTGGTTGAGTGTGTTGACCACTTCACTTACCTGGGAAGTAGGATCAACCCTGGTGGGTTAGTTGCCGATGAGATTTCTGCACGGATACAAAAGGCTCGATTGGCTTTTGCCAATTTGCGCCACCTATGGCGCCGCCGTGATATTCGTTTGTCTATTAAGGGTCGCGTGTACTGCACAGCAGTCCGCTCTGTTCTACTATATGGCTGTGAAACATGGCCACTGAAAGTGGAGGATACAAAAAGGCTTCAGGTGTTTGATCACCGTTGCCTTTGTAGTATAGGACGTATTCCGTGGTGTCACCATGTGAGTAATGCAGAAGTTAGGTGTAGAGTTTTAGGGAGAAGAGGTAAGTCAGTTGACGAGGTTGTGAACCTTCATCGACTGAGATGGTTGGGACACGTACTACGTATGCCTAGTCACCGATTGCCTCTCCACACAATGTTGGCTGAGGTGGGTCCAGGCTGGAAAAAGGCCCTAGGTGGCCAGACTGAAACATGGCACCAATGTATGAAGTCTCTGACTGTTGGTTTAAGCCATGTAGGACGTTGCAGACTAAGTGGTTGGGGCCCACGGGACAAGAGGAACCAGTGGTTGGAGACCCTTGGTGATATGGCTCAGAACCGAAGTCAGTGGCACAGATGTATACACACATTATCCTCATCTTAACAACGCTATACGGAATCTCACTATTTTGTCACTCCTCTTTCCTTTCTTTTCGTACTTTATATTTCTTTTGACTGCATTCACTTATCTTCATCCTTCACCTCACTACCTTTTTACTTGATGTGCTGATATGAGGTGTGGCAACTCGGACCGTTTCGCAGTAATGCCTGGTCCTATGTTGATAATGATGATGATGATGACTAATTTTTAGTTATTTCACCAAGAGTTTTTGACTACCAGTTTCTTTCATATCAAAGACCCTAGGTAGGTAATCTACACCTCTTTACATGATTCTAACCAACAGTAAGAGACTTCATCGACTAGTGTTACGTGTTGGTCTGGCCATCCTAAACCCTCTCCGAGGGTGAACAGTGACTTGGCATGGGAAGAACATGTCCAGACCATCTAAGGTAATAAAGGTTCGCCGCCTCATTCACTTATTCGCCTTCCTTCTCTAGAACCATTCACATGACCTTAATACTGCTCACATGGACCCAAGCCCTCACACGATAAGCACGTGCATCAATGAAGAGTTTTAGAAGTAAACAAAACAGCCATCCAGTTCTCCAACTGATAATAATCCATGATGATAACAACTTTCCATTGGCTAAATTTGTTTTCAATTGAAAGACATGACTCGATAACATGTGAGTACTGTGGTGACGTCAGAACACGTGATTCAAACTTTAGAACCTGATATTACGTAACTACTACAACGAATCGCTCATTAGGTTGCATAATCCATACATACTACTGTGGTCCACATAGGAAGGCAAACAATAACCAATAGAAAGTAAGGGTTAATGAAGATAGCGAACTGTCAACGCAGGTGGCTTTGTGATTAGTGACTAATAAATTTGAACAGATCGCTGTTTTTATGAAGTTGTCATTGATTTAGGTATTAGAATGCCTTTCAGTATGACTAGACAGTAAAACTGAAACACGATCAATTAAAAAAAATGTAGATTTTAAAGTAATTACTCCATTTGATGAATTTGCATAGTGTAATAAGAAGATGAAGGTTATCTGAGAAATGTGTGGTGTATTCCTGCAATACATTTCAAACAATCTGATCACACACACACATTAACTCGTCAAGGTATTTCATATAAAGGACGAAAATAGGTTGGGGTGAAATAAATAAATAAAGGTCATATAAGATTTGGAAAATATGGGGATAACAAGGAGGAACAATATATTTTCACCCCTCCATTGACGTTAAAGTGGGGGTAAAGACAACCAAGGTAGGTTTAAGTTGAGGGCAAACTGTTTTTTAAATCTACTGGGTGGTGATTGAAGGTGAAATGAAAATTTGTACCGCAGCCGAATTCGAATCAGTGACTACCGGGTTTCTGGTCTGATGCTGTACCAACAGAGCTATGAGGTTTGACTGCTAACCAGGTTTTTATTTAACTTTAATCACTAGGTAGGGTTTTGCCTGATTAACATGTGAATTCATGATGCGTTATTACCGCCTCATCGTATTCACACTGAGTACAAAATAGGGATTTGAACTTTCTTATAGCTAAGGCTTCAATGAACCTAAGTATGCAGTCTTGACAGCTGCTACACAATAGTTTAGAGGCTAGTTGGGGGTCAATCCTATGACTTATTTCTATAATGTGTTTACTTATCGACAATGACATCTGTCTGCCTCCTATATTTATCGAATTATTTGAATGTAATTGTTTTTAAAACCATCAACAGAGACATTTATAGAAAACGCCTATCCTCTGAAGTTGTTCAATCGTTATAAAAACATCCCAACAGTACGAACTAATCAGTATTCAGTCCCAAAGAAGGATATTTACATCGTGCTATCTTATTAGGGATGAATCAGACAGTATGATCTTAAGATGAAGACTTAATTCAATTATTGAAAAGACATACTACGCAGGCAAGCTCAATGTTATCGAGAAAACGTAACCTATGCTACAAAATAAGCCTCATCACTTCATGAATGATGACGTCACACTCCGCTGTGTACGCCAATTTACATGTGTATGCGATGATACATAGATTGGGAGGAGGAGTAATCGAACTATGAAGTCGACAGTGGTATGGAGAATATCCCTAAATGGTAAGAAATACAATTACATTCAAATAATCGAATGATAATAATGGGCAGACCAGACATTATCGTCGACAGATAAACATATTATCACCTGCAAAACATCCTTTAGACCAGTGTACAGTAACCATCAAGACCACTTACTTAGGTTAATTGAAGCCTTAGCTATAAGAAAGTTCAAACCCCTTTTGTGTATTCAAAAACAGTTTGCCCTTACCTTAAACCTACCTCGGTGATCTTTATCTCATTTTATCGCCAATGGAGGGGTGAAAATATATTGTTCCTCCTTATGATCCCCATATTTCCCAAATCTTATATAATCTTAATTTGTTTATTTTACCCCCCACCTTATCTTCATTCCTTGTATGAAATGGTTTGACAAGCTAATGTGTATGTGATCAGATTGTTCGAAATGTATTGCAGGAATACACCATACATTTCTCAGATAACCTCCATCTTCTTAGTACACTATGTAAAATATAGACCCATTGGCACAATGGTAGCATGTTGACTATGGAACCTGAAGGTAACGGATTCGATCTCCGAGTGGGGGGGGGGTTGTGAGTGCACACTTCTGAAGAGTCCTGTCGAACGAAACAGCTATTCAGTACTTCCAGGTTTCCAATATTCTTCTAACTGAAATCAGTTCATGATGAACACTAAGTTGTAAAGTATAGATTGTTGGCATTATCTATCTTACTCTTTTTATTAGTTTAAACATATAAATTTTCAACTTGTTAAATGATATCGTTACCTTCTTCATCATGATTAATTTACATTAAGAGGTATTTACGGAACACTGGTCCATAACTGTGATGTTATTTATACTATGTTTTAAAAGTATCTTATTGTCTGGTTTAGAGGCTTATGAGATCGATTTATTTGAAGATAGTATTCATGATAGATTGATCTCTGTTTGAGAACCATTTAAAGATGAAGTGTATTGGACAGTTGTTTTGTCGTAGTATCTAAGTCTTCAGCTATATCCATTCATAACTTCATCTGAGATAGAGTCTATGATCGTCAAGTCTTGTGCTAGCCAATTCATCATTCAGCCACTGAGTTGAAATCTAACAATGTATATTTTATTCTTGTTGAAATCAAGTAATAGACACTTTCTTCATCTAATAATGTCATAGTTTTGAAAAATATAAATACTTCAAAGAGAAATTCAAAGATTGTTAGATTGTGACAGATATAAACGAATATAATTTTGAAGGAGTTGTGGGGATGTGAAAATATTTCAAGTTGTTGTTCATAGTAGACTGATATCAGTTGGAGTAATAAAAGAAACCTAGAAGCACTGGACAGCTGTTTCGTCCAACTAGTGTATGACTCCTCAGCAGTGCACACCCACGACACCGCCACCTAGGGGTCAAACCCACGACGTTGAGGTTCTGTAGCCAGCACGTTACCACTGAGCTAGCCACTGGGTCAGAATCCAGTGCTCCATATTTCCAATTTCTGTTAGCTCATCATCATCTTTTGTAGAGAGCGACTTTTCTGATGAGATCACCGATCAAGCCCTCAATGTGTAACATGTAAATATTAGCTGGCAATAGTCCTAAGGGACTTCCTATGGCCACACCATCTATTTGTCCAAAATGATCACCTTCAAATGTGAAATAAACTTTATCAGTACACAATAATAACAGCTCTCTCAAACACGTTGAGGTGATAGGGAAAGAAGGATTACTGGAAGATATATGATCACAAAGAATGTCAATGGTTTTAATTAGAGGTACATTAGTAAATAAGGAGTTGACATCAAATGAATACAATCTCTTATCTTTGATATTAATATCACTGATATAATAAACAAGTTCAAAAGTATCTTTTAAAGGAAAGTTACATAAGTCATTTCGAATAGGAATTAGAGTTTTTGCTAAACATTTCGCCACTTTATGTGTAAGTGAACGGAACATGGAGAGTATAGGAGGTAAAGGATTATCTGTTTTATGAATTTTAAGCAATCCATACAGATTAGGTAGCTCAGATCTCATTGGTTTGAAGGAAGTGAATTCTTCTTTGCTGATAACATTGATATTCAAGAGTTTTACTAGACTAGATGTTACTTTGCATTCTAATTTTCTAAGGTTGTCTGATGGAACATCAGGTATAAATTTACTTTCACCGCTAAGGGTGGACATCATCTTGTTTTTGTGATCACATTTATCCATCACAACCACACCCGACGCTTTATCAGATTTGAGAATGATTACATTAGATCTATTTGAAAATGTATAGCTCTATTACATCACATTTTTCAGATAATCTACGTCTTTTAATTACATTATCCTAATGAAGAACTGTTAAACTATATGAAAGTTTCGATAACGCTATTAGAAGACGAAGATTCTCTGAAAAATGTGATGTATTTGCACAATACACATTTCGAACAATCTGATCCCTCACACATTTACTTGTCAAGTCAATTCATATATATATGAAAATTAAAGGTCAAATATAGTGAATATGAAAAGGTTGTGACACTAGTCTTGGTAACATAATCAGATAACGGTTACCAAGGTAAATTAAGTGAAACAATAAATTGTTTTTGTACACACAGTGGGGGATTAAGTTTACGAATGGCTAACGCTTCGGCAAACTACAGTATGCGCCCCTGATTATTCCTGTATATTATCTTAAACGCTGTTTTCGTATTAACCTTGTGATTCATTTCAATAATATGTTTTGCTATAGATGACGATGGATGTCTGTCACCTGCATTTATCAAAGTTTGTGTGTTAAACTGTTTTTCTAGCCATTTGGGGATGTGTTCACCCACCCTAGTCTGCATTGAACGATTACTCCTCCCTATGTATGTGTGACCACACATACATGTAAATTGGTAAACGCAGTAGGATGTGATGTAATCATTTGTGCGAGGTTGAGGTTTGTGGTGAAGCAGGTGTTTTGTTGTCTCAACAATGATAAGCTGAGCTGTATAGTATGTTTTACTGATAACAGATTTTAATCTCTGCTTCAACATCATACTACTTGTTTCCCCTCTGTATGGTACTTTAAGAAATATGCTTTTCTTCGGGACCGAGGAAACTATAGGTTTTGGGGTCAACTGTTTTTACAATAGTTGACAAACTGTAATGGATAACCGTTTTCCACTAGAGTGTCTGTCAGAAATTTATTCTCATCATCCATCGTATCAGATGTACAAATACGTTGAATTCTATTGAATAAGCATCTAACCAAGCCTCTCTTATATTTTATCGGACAAAAACTATGGAAATTCAAATACTGTTCTGTCCAAGTAGACTTCCTGCTGTGTGTACAAAAACAATTTGTTGTTTCACTTAATTTACCTTGGTAATCCTTGGCAATCTGATTATATTACCAAGACTAGTGTCACAACCTTTTCATAATCACTATATTTGACCTTTAATTTTCATATATATATGAATTGACTTGACAAGTAAATGTGTGAGGGATCAGATTGTTCGAAATGTGTATTGTGCAAATACATCACATTTTCAGATAATCTTCGTCTTCTAATAGTGTTATCGAAATATATGAAAGTTGTTTAAATAACTTGATAAGTTTTGAGGGGGTTGTGGAGATTTGGAAATATTTCAAGTTGTTATTCATCGAAGACTGACATCAGTTGGAGGAACAAAGGAAACCTGGGAGCACTGGACAGCTGTTTCGTCCTAGTATGAGACTCCTCAGCAGTGCGCACCCACGACCCCACCAGCAGGGATGGAACCCGCGACCTTCAGGTTCCGCGACCAGCGCGTTACCATTGAGCCACTGGATCAGAATCCAGTGCTCCATATTTCCAACTCCCAGGTTTCCTTTGTTTCTCCAACTGATGTCAGTCTTCGATGAACAACAACTTGAAACTTGATATGTAATAAATGCTGATCAAAACGTCATCCAATAAATTATACTGTAACATTATGTGTGCTATATGTGCTATGTGGAATTATACGCTAACACTGTACCAAAATTTTTCTCTTACGCCACTAGAATCATGCATGTTGTCATATTGGTGTCATATTGGCGGAACCTGAAGGTCGCGGGTTCGATCCCTGCTGGTGGGGTCGTGGGTGCGCACTGCTGAGGAGTCCCATACTAGGACGAAACAGCTGTCCAGTGCTCCCAGGTTTCCTTTGTTCCTCCAACTGATGTCAGTCTTCGATGAATAACAACTTGAAGTAAATCTTATCATTATAGAAGTTTAAAAGTGAACATATAAAATATTCTTCCTTTCAACAGACACTCATTAGAAGTCCAATTGTTTCATAATTAACTCAATGATAAATGGATGTAAGCATGACTTTTTTGTATTATACTTAGAATTTGTCCACAAAGTTTGAAACATTACAGCTATGTAAAAAAGACTCTTTACTTTCAAATGTACTCTTGGTGTACTTAAAATGTTTTAGTCTCACTTAGATTTAGCTGTTAAACACAATCAATTCGATGATTATCCAGTATAAGGTGGTGAAATCGTAATGACATATTGCATAACTAGTCTCTACTTCCATTGCAACCAACATATTTTAAATTATATTATATAGATTATTGTTATTATTTATCCCTAGAGTTCCTAGTGGAATAAAGGGCTTTAGTAGCATGTCTTCAGTGCACTCTGTTCTCTGCAATCTTTTGAACCTAGTTCCATGACAGCCCAGAAGCTCTCGTTTCTTCCTCACATGATCTTCTCCATGTCGTCTTGACCTAGGATGCCCAACTCATCGTTTCCCATCTGATTTTTAGTGTGTCCAACGGGTGAAATCCATGTCGTTTTGTGGATATCCTTGTGCTTGAACACACTGCCTTTAGTCACCAAATCATTGAATGCACAGAATTCTGCAAACAATTCTCCATTCTCATTCATTACAATGAGTGCTTCTCTACCCATGGTTAGTTCTCTTCCTGTATTGTCCCCTCCAAGTTTGGCATTCGTGTCGCCCATTAGAATTTTGATATCGCCAACTGACGTCTTCTCCAGTGTTGATTGACGTTGTCTGTAGAATTCCTCCTTCTTCTCTTCATCTGCATTAATTGTAGGTGCGTAACATTGTATGATTGTGACCTTCTTTGCTTTTTAGTTGAACCTTGCTGTCATGATCTTGAAGGAAACTGATTCCCACCACATGAGAGCCTTTGATGCTCTTGGTGACATCACGATAGCCACTCCAAAACTCAGTGTGCTCATGGTTGTCGTCTGGGTGAGAATGTAGGAGTAGATTATTGACTCTCCAGTTCTCAGTCTGGAGAGTGCACTTCCATTCCACCTGCTCTCGCAGATTCCTAGCACTTCTATGCCATATCTTCTCATCTCCTTTGCAATCTGGGCAGCCTTGCTAGGTTCAAACATAGTGCGGACATTCCATATCCCTATGTTTATTTTTGCTTTCATCGAGGGAGAGAAGAAACATCAACCAATTGGCTTCCCTATGGCTTTCACCAACCGGCGTCATTTCGTCTCTCCGATTCCAGTGAGGAATAAGTTTGCTTTTATTTTTTATATTCTGTTTGTGCTTTGAAGTTTTTGTAGCGGTTGGATCGGTTTTACGGGTAGGGGTCGCCAGCCCTACACCCAACCTTCCCTCTATACCCGGGCTTAGGACCGGCTAGTAACTAGTGAACTAGTTAACCAGGCGAGGTTTATTTTAAATTATTTTCCATATAATCACCAACTAGTTCTTAAGTATCATTCTTATCTCTCTGTATTTATTTGTTAATATATTGTTTAAGCTGTAAAAATCAATGAGTTGGAGACTGTTATTTCAGAGAGAGATTATTATCTACAGATAATTAATGAACAAACGGAAGAATTATCTACAGTCAAGGCAGACTGTCAACATCAAATAAGAGAGGTTAGTTAGCCATCATGGGTATAAATGTTTTCCAAAATTTTTTTATTTGATAATGCCATAACAGCTATCGTAAGTAATTGGATTTTCGGTGCAGATTCTTAACGCTAAATGGGTTCAAACTAACACTTCAATGTCTTAAAAGATAGCGAAATTATCATATATATTTATGCTATTATTATTTATCCCTTGGGTTCCTAGTGGAACATAGGGCTTCAGTAGCACATATACATTTCACTCTCTTCTCTCCTGTCTTTGCAACCTGTCTTGGAAATGGTTGAGTGTGTCGACTACTTCACTTACCTGGGAAGTAGGATCAGTCCTGCCCTGCTGACGCAGTGGTCGATGAAATCTCTGCAAGGATACAAAAGGCTTGGCTGGCTCTTGCCAATTAACGCCACCTATGGCGCCGCCGTGATATCTGTTTGTCTATTAAGGGTTGCATGTACTGCACATTCACAGCAGTCCTATCTGTTCTACTGTATGACTGTGAAACATGGACATTGAAGGTGGGAGACATGAGAAAGCTTCAGGTGTTTGACCACTGTTGCCTTCGTAGTATAGGCCCTATTCAGTGGTGTCACCATGTGAGTAATGCAGAAGTCAAAGGTAGAGTTTTAGGGAGAAGAGGTAATTTGGTTGACAAGGTTATGAACCTTCATCGACTGACATGGTTGGGGCACGTGTTACTTATGCCTAGTCACTGATTGCCTCGTCACACAATGTTGGCCGAAGTAGGTGCAGGCTGGAAAGAGGCCCTAGGTGGCCAGAGTAAAACATGGAGCCGATGTATGAAGTCTGTGACTGTTGGTTTGAGCCGTGTGGGGTGATGTAGACTACTGAGTGGTTTGGGTCGGTGGACGAGAGGAACCAGTGGTTTGAGACTGACTGTAGATGATATGGGTTAGAAGGGATGTCAGTGGCGTAGATGTATCCCCATACACATTATCCTCATCTTAACGATGCTACACTGAATCTCACTATTTTGTCATTCTTCCTTTCTCTGTTTTCATACTTTATATTTTTTTTGACTGAATTTTCTTTTCTTCATCTTCCACTTGACTACCTTTCTACTTGATGTACTGTACTGAGCTGTAGCAACTCACACTTTTATGCATTAATGCCTGGTCCTATGTTGTGATTGATTGGTTGATTGATCTTTGAAACAATTAGTCCCTTTAATAAATTAATGATTAATGAGTTTTTCCTGTATCAAACAAATACATCGTATCATTTGGATATATATATCATTCAAGGAACTGGAACCTTGATATACTAAAAGTAATATTAACTAACAAGAGAGAGGAGCGTTAAAAAATGTGACTAAAGGAGAAGGCGACAAATCGTTAAATTGAAATTTATCCAAAATGATATATTCTTTTGAGGTAAACAATCCAGTTAAAATCTGTCTAATGTCATGTCAATGGTAAGAAAATTATTATTTGTCTATTGGTTTCCTATTGTAACATAGGGCTTCAGTAGCACATCTCCATTTCACCCTCTTCTCTCCAGTCTTCTCAATCTGCCACCACGACTACCCACAAGCTTTCATTTCTTCCTCACACCATCTCCTCCATGTCACCCTCATCTTATACGCCCAACTCGTGGTTTCCCATCTGGGTTCCACTCTAGCAACTGGCCTGGTGCGTGATGTCCCCAGTCGGCCTTCTCAGTGTATGTCCAATCCAATCCATTTCCATTTTCTCACTCTGCGTATTTATTAGGCGATAGCTTCTTGGTTGGTTGGTTCGCTACCAGCCCCAGTGAGTTTCTTGTTACTTATTGTGATTGTTCTGGCCACCTGATTTTCATCTTCAGTATAGAATGAGCGTAGGCGGCAGCTTTTGATGTGATGTATATCTGTAGTTTGTTGGAAATGCTTTTCGTAACGCATCAAGTCTCTCAACTATCAAATAGAAGCACTGACTCACTTGATTGAATTGGTGTTGAAAATTTGGAAGTTGTTCACGCTTTATTCTGAGTGCAGTGTATTTGCGGGGCCTGTATTTGAAACGATGCCGCCTAGATAGACACCTCAATGGTCAACATTTAGACCTGTTAGCTCAGTCAGTCGGACACGTAATCTGGAGGTCGCCAGTTTGAATCTTGCTGTAATCATCATCTGGTATTAACTAACACCAGTTTTCCAAACCATATCTATCTCCAAAAAATCTCATTCACAGTCCATCTAATGTTGACAATGCAGCTTATAATGATTGCTTACTGGAAGGCAGGTACATTCAGTTGACGAGTTACAAACAGAATGAAACTCTCATCTTGAATTCCATTGGTAGACACTATTTATCATTAATATATAATTACTGAAGCTAACTATCAACTTATTTGTGTGTGTGCGTGTGTGTGTGTGGATTGTTTATAGCTTACAGAACAAATAAAATTATTAAAAACACAATCATTTTGTCAAGGAAAATGTTCACAATTGAAATCAAGAAAAGGAACTAGCACTGAAAGATACAACACTTATACAAAGATATTAAAGAAACCTATAACAGCAGGTAGGATTTGTTTTTCTTTGCATTTTCTCTCCCTGAAAATATTTTCTTGTTTTTGTTTTTACTTATATCTGCAGTCAGAAATCAAATTTTTAACCCTTTCTTGAATAGATTTTGCAGTGACCAGTGATAAACGAAACCTGTAATACAAATGAGTGATAACATCAAGTTGTGAAAAACTTCTTAAACAGAGATTTCAGTTTGGAGGTAGTATTCCATTACGAATTGGTATCAGTTGGAGAACTATTGAAAACTTGAGAGTTATGAACAGCTGTTTCTTTCTAGTATGGGATACTTCACTACCCGGCTAATGATTGAACTCGAGACCATGAGGTGTTATGACGAATACTTTAACCATCCAGCTATTGGGTCAAAGTTTAATGGTTCATACTTCCCAACTACTGTCATTTCGCAGTAAAGTGCATCCAAGATCTATGGTTGGCATTCGCTCACCTTCTGATTGGTTGATCCTATATATCATGGCTTCTCATTAGAACTTTAAGATATCTTTCTGGAAGTATTTCACTAACAAGCACTATACAGTGATGTATTTTGAGGTGAGATAGTATTCATCACTGTTAGTGAGTGGTGAAAATCTAATCGCAGAGCCTACATTACAAGAAATAAGAATATATTGAAGTGAATGAAGTCCTAGGAACACTCAATTATTTGTTATACCTTTTGAACATGATATCCAGCTTTCAAAATATTAGTTTCTATGGCTTCCAAAGTTTTAAATAGGTTCTGCATTTACCGAATGATCATATTTCAGCACCTTATAGCTCTAATTGGGTCTATTATACCCAATCTGTAAATACAGAAGACAACTTCATTGTCATATATAAGGTTCAAGGAAGCCTCCTGATATGTTAATGATGGATCGTAGCTAGAAGCGGAATCCAGGATGCGCATTTCATCCTATTTGGGACTCTTCAGCTGGATGTGCCTGCAACCCAGTGCGAAGTGATGTTGTTCCCATAGGGACTCGGACTCGGGAGCGATTGCTCCAAATGCCAAGGCGTTATCCGCCACACCACCGAGCCACGACAGCCAATTCTTGTGCGATGGGTATAGTTTTTAGTGAAATTGTTTTTATATGATACCGTTGTTGCTTGGACCGAATCGATCGGTCTCTATCGCACAAGAAGTGGCTATCGTGGCTCGGTGGTGTAGTGAGTAACGTGCTGGCGTTCGAGGCGATCGCTCCCGAGTCCGAATCCCAATGGGAACAACATCACTCACTGGGAAGCAGGTACATCCAGCTGACCAGTCTTAAATAGAACAAAATATGCATCGTGGATTCCACTGCTAGCCACGATCCATCAATAACATAATTAGGACGCAGGCAATATTGAGGCATCCGCACAGGAGGCCCATATGCTAATAGAAACCGGTCAATTCAGTCCAATCAACGACGGTATGATATAAAAACAATTATACTACTAGCCTCCTGATAAGTTTACACCTGAAGTGTTTTCCTGCAAAGAAGGGCGCTTTTTGGATTGACATATTAGCCGACACCAGGTAAATTACAACATGATTAGTAATCAAATAATATCGAGGTATCCGCATAGAAGTGCATATGCCAAAACACTTAAATCATTTCTATTCGGTATAAATTGCAAGTATAAGTAGAAGTGGCTCATGTGTCTTAATAGCCTAATAGATAACATTTTGACATTTAAAACGACGGATTCTAACTTCAAATTCTCAGTAGGATGCAGATGCATCAAGTTGAAGAGTCCCAAATAGGACGAAATTCGCATACATGATTCAGCTGTTAATCAATACTAGAGTAATTATAATGTCCAATCATTTCATTAAAATATTTGTTTAAATCAATGTAAATTTCACAATGAATGAATACTAACCAATGTTGAAATATGAATAATATACTATACTATATCATGAAATACTTCTAAAATCCTTTGGAATTGAATGAATAAGGGATATAGTTAACAAGTTTTTGCATGGTAATAATGTAAAACAATAAGATATCATGCCTGGAAACTGTTTAGTTATCTAAGTTTGATTATTCTGAGGAGAAAATTTATTCGATTCATCTAATGTCAGTACTCATACAATTAAAAATGGTTACCACCTATTGTGTACCATTACCCTCCGCATTTTATTGTATACCTTGACTAATTGTATTCACATTTACTAAAATCTCCCTTTTTGTTCTAATTGTTTTGAATGGTTATAGTATAGTCCAAAACTTCTACTCAATAGTAAATTAGTTTACTTGGATAAATCTGTTTTCATCACAGCAAGATTTATTGGTTAGTAGGATACAGTCCAACTGGTGGTTTTATCAGTTATTGTAACGCAAATACTGTTTTATCTAAATTATGTTATTGAATTCAGAAGGAAGCGGCTACGTAAATTCCTGAATATATATAGAATAGTACTAGATGATGGATGAGTGTAAAATGAAACTTTGGACCACCAGTTACCCCAGGGGTTACCAGTTTTGTGCTCTACAAACTCAGCTACTAAACCTGACTGTTGAACAGACTTTTATTTCACTTTTAATCATCAAGTGAGTCATCTGATCGCCATGTGAACTCGTTTGATCGTAAACATGTCTTCTGCTCAGTTAGAACTTTTCATCCCAACCAAAAACTAGTTGAATAAGACAGTGGGTTATTATTTTGACTATCAGAAGTAGAAGTAGAATAACTCGATAACAGAATTACAATGTGATGTCGAATGATTAATTGAACAGTCATTATCATTCGCTACATTATGTATACACAGAAATTATGATGAACAGAAAAACGGTAAAATGACTTTTCCAGCAGCTTTATAGGCTACTCATAAGTAGTATAAATGTAAAGCAAACGTTTGGTGATTTGAGAACAATCATCTGAATAAACCTTTTTTTACGAATAACCATTCTACATTGGCTACTTTCCTATTTGTTTTTATCCACAAATTATGCTGTGAAATGCCAAGAGAGCTGAAAAAACTGCACGCTGATATGAAATAGAGGAATATGAGATGTGTCTTATGGCATATCTTTTTTATAACTCCCTATAAGTGAAATATTTTAGTTCTTTATATCAGAGGTAAGTTACTTATCTATGAAGGCAATCTTATGTATGGTACTTTTCGAGAAAAACGTTTTCTCTGTTCATCTAGGTTCACTACTATCAGATCAGAGATTAGCTTCAGTTGAATATGAAAAACAAGCAAGTGAGAATGCGATCGATGAAATGAAAAAGCAGGTAGTTATCTTTTCAGAGTATAATAATTTATTGCATAATTCAATGACTTTTACATATATATATATATATATATATATATATATATATATATATATATATATATATATATATATAGTCCGCCTCCATTGCACTCTCTTCTCTCCAGTCTTCTCAACCTGGTGCCACAACTGCCCATAAGCTTTCATTTCTTCCTCACACCATCTCCTCCATGTCACACTCAACTCGGATACCCAACCCGTCGTTTCCCCTTTGAATTCCACTCGAGCAACTGGCCTGGCTCGTGATATCCCCAATCCTCTTTCTCAGTGTATGTATGTAGTTGAAACGATGCTGCCTAGCTTGGTAGGTATGTGAGCGAGACTACTTCCTTTAGGTTTCTCCCGTTCATGGGGATTAGTGCTTGTTGTTCTTGTTGGTTGGTTATCTTCATCACCCGTGTCTTCTCTACGTTCACCTGAAGGAAGTCTAGTCTTCGCTGCCTTGCCTCTTCTGTCAACTTGTTACTTTTCCCCTGTAGATTTTTAAGTTTGTGCGACATCAGATATTAGACATAAATGATGATCGGCAAAATCCAAATCTTGTGAGGTCTTTCATCGGTCAAACAGCGTATGCCCCTCTTCTCGCTCCTCACGGTTTGCTTCATGATCCAGTCGACCACAATGAGGAAGATCATCGGTGATAGTAGGCAACCATGTCTTATTGTAGTATTATAGTATTGTTTTATAATGCTGTGACCCATGTTTGTTTTTATTGGTCATATAGTTTTCTGTATCTCTGGTTGAGGTTGTTGTGATGTCCCAGTCTTGTATAAAACATTGTTATTGATCTGAACATTTTAACGTGTCATTCCCACATTATTTTTACGATATGACTAATAGTCTATTTCTGCCCCCATTGTAATGTAATTCTCTGATTGGTTAACTTTTACTCTTACTATGCGAATTTCTCCAGTTGCGGACGTGGTCACCTTTCATGTGTATACTAATTCACGTGTTTTGGATTGATTCATTGTTATGATATTATATTCTCGGAGTAATACACTCTCCCATCTGCCAGCTTCGGTCTTCTCTCTATTCGTCCCGGGGTAGCAGCCAGTGTCTCTTGCGTACCAAGTTAGCTGTCAGCTGAGCGCACGCATTATATTCGTTTCGGAATATATACATATATTATAAGCGCACCGAACCCATAACAGAGGTGATGCATCATTCGTATTATATGTGTTGGGTGGGTGCTAAGTCGATGGAGAGAAGATTCAGTAATCAGTCTCTGTCTCTCTCCACCTAAATATATTGAACATTCAAACAGCTACTTCATCCCATCTGATTGTGTTGTTTTGCGTTAATGCATGCCTGCATTGCAATAACTAAGGTTTTTCTTCAGATTATTGGTGCTATTCGGGTCTATCATTCTATATTTGGCTAAATTCCTATGTTCTACTAATCTATCTGACACCAACTGGCTAGTTTGATCTATGTACTTGACCTGACTCACAGTCATTACATGAAAATTGATAGACTGAATTATTTTGCTCCATTAGTTCCATCGAATCCTTCATCAGACAAAGCTTATCTCTGAGTGAGTTTGTAGGTTTAAATGTCACCGTAATTCCAGATTTGTTGAGAATTCTACGTAAAGTTTCTGATGTACCTTCCACATAGAGTAACACATAGAGGCCTTGAACTTAATTCTACTCGTATTGTCATGATTATATCTACACGTATTACTGTTATGACTTCATTTCTTATGTATCTGTACGCATTTCTCAATAAATGGTACTGTATAATTACTATTTATTAACGCTTCTTTTGCGTATTTGGATTCCTTGTTTAAGTCTTTGCATTGACTAGTGAGTTTTCTAGCTTTGTCATTTAGTCATTTGAGTAAACTCGCCTTAACTGCTGTTGGATGAGATGATTTGAAGTCTAGATACCTGTTAGAATGTGTCGGTTTCCTGTAGACAATAGTATCCAAACCACCATCTGTTCTTCATTTTCTATATCGTCCTGAGTGAATTGGATTGCATCCACTACTGAGTTTATATGTGTGAGTAAAGTGCCAATATGTTCCGATTTCACCTCAGTAAATGTGTCATTCACATGTCGCCACCATATCTAAGGCGTAGAATTTAACTACGTCTTTGCAGCTGTCCATATATATATCTGCTACGACTGTGTTACCACTAAAGGAAGGAATAACAGAAACTTTACATAGGATTCTCAACAAGGCTGGAATCCGTATAGCATTTAAACATACAAGCTCACTCAGAGATAAGCTTTGGTGGCTGGCTTAGGGATTCGATAGAAGCGAACAAGGAAAGTAATCCAGTCCATCAAATTCCATGTAATGATTGTGATTCAGGTCAATTATATAGGTCAAACTAGCCCGTTTGGTGGGGATCAAATAGGTTAGTAGAACATCGGAATTTAGCAGCTGCTTCAACCCAACAGAGTACCACAAATCTTTATCAACCTCATTCAACAGCTATATGCTGACGCCACATGCCAAGTGATCCACAATCTGAAGCTAAGTGACACCTTTGAAATGAAGACAGGAGTAAGACAACGTAGCCGCCTACTATCACCGATGATCTTCCTGAGTGTGGTCGACTGGATCATGCTGCAGACAACTGTGAGAAGCGAGAAGAGGGGCATATGCTGGCTAGACCGATGAAATACCGTACACGATTTATGTCTAATGTCTTGTCGCATAAACTCAAAGATCAACAGGCGAAAAGTAACAAGTTGACAGAAGAGGCAAGGCAGCGAAAACGACACTTCAAGTGAATGTAGAGAAGACACGGGTGATGAAGATACCCAACCAACAATAACATCAACAACAAGCACCAATCATCATGAACCGGAGAAACTTAAAGGAAGTTGTCTCTTTCATCTATCTGGCTGGACAGCATCGTTTCAACTACAGGCGATACAGACACAGGCACATACGAGGATGTCAAAACCAGGATTGGAAAGACATTCATCAACACCTTCTGCATACACTCACTCGATACTAAAGATCATTATTGTTAGTGGTTCATTTAGTCAGTATGATAATCTGCAGTACACGTAAACTATTTCAAAAATAGTTATAGGATGTAGTAATGTACATTTAGAAGCCTACTGTCATTTATCATGAAGTATTTTGTTCACTTTATTGTTAACGTGGATAACGACTGGTTGAAAATCTTTTCTTAAAACAAAAAATGCTTCAGAGTGTAGAAATTAACTTGAAGGTATATTTTAAGGATTGAAACAAGTTGAGAAAGGGATTAATCCTATGAAAAATGTTCATTAGCTTAAAGTTCAAGCAAACCCCTCAAACTAAAATGAATTCTACAACTTATGATTATTTGTCGCTTGGGTGCCTAGTGGAATATAGGGCTTCAGTAGCACGTCTTCAGTGCACTTTATTCTGTGCTCCACGACTGCCCACAAGCTCTCATTTCTTCCTCACAGCATCTCCTCCATGTCACCCTGAGCTGGGACGCCCAACTAGCCGTTTCCTGTGAGTAGGCCATCAGTGGATTTGTCCATCCGCCAGTAGATTCGGGTGTAGTCCGCCGCGTTTTGGCGCCTGCGGCGCCAGCCGGCCCGATCCGGGCGTATTGATATATTAGTGACAATTTGTAAGCAAAGGTAATGAACCCAACAAATGATAACCCTAACTTTTGGGTAAGTGTGACAACTGCCTCAATTTTTAATCACAAGAAGAGGTAATAGTACAACCAAGATATTTCAAAGAATGCATTGAAATTACAACAGCTTCTGCCTACTTCATTTCAACTGATAACAGTTAATTATTTGGCGAGTTAACTCTTCTTGAAAAGTATATGTAATACTGAAAATCTGTGAAGCTTCATCAATAAATATGGAAGAAGAAATAGAGATAAGATGGTGGTCACTACACTTGAAATGAAACTAGTTTTCACTTAGTTGACTTCTCTGGGATAAGGTATTTTGGAAAGAGTAAATCATAGAGTAAGAGTTTCTCTAGTCTCGACCTACCTAACAGATAAACTTGTTTCTGTGTATAGTACTATGGGAAATCTTTCTCATGCCATCTACGAATGAATTTATAAGCCTATATGTACTTCACATGACAAGTTTACTGGAAGGAAAGAAAGATGAACTTCAATCCACTTCTTTAAAAACGTTCTTAGTCATTTACAGGGGTGGTCACTTTACATTTAATCGGTTCAGGATATGATGTGGTTGTATATAAATTGCCTTCAAGATAATCTGTAGGTAAACAAATACAATTCTACATCGCTTCGTTAAATAAGTTGCAATCAAGCAAAATTCAACCTGATCTTATCCTACTTCTAATAGATCTTTGATGTAATAAAATTACGTATTCTAATATTTTGCTGATAGTGATTGATTTCAACTCACTCTACTTCATTACTTGTCTTCTTACACATTATGCAATTATTTTTTGGTAAAGACTAGGAATCGAAAAGCACTATGCCTTCTATCTATTACACTTTGTTTTCACCTATAATCATGGTATTACCACTCATCATTCCACCATATTGTAAAAATCTATCAATTTTATATGAACCGCCTGTTCAGTAAAGATACCGTCAGCAGTTGATGAAAAGCTTCAAAGTAAAGTGTTTCTTTTTACTGTAAAGTTGATTCTTCTCACTTTGATGAAAATAATCAAGGGAAGATGTTGTATAACGAAAAAAATCAACTTCGTTTAGCTATTAATTAATTGTTAAATAGACAAACGAAACCAACTTGGAACATGATAAACAGATGCATCGGTTCAAGTTATCACACTTTACAGTAGTGTACAATGGATAGGTGGATAGGAAAAGACTGACATCAAAGAACGCAAAGTGGTGTGTTAGAATAAACAGTTGAAGACAAGGAGTTTCAGAAATGAAAGTATATCCATCTGCTCCGCTATGACCGGATTTTAGCCACATCACCAAACTTTAGTTCCTAACCATTGATTCCTATTTTCTCTGAAACTCCAGCTAGGCAGTCTGTATCTCCTCACCTGTCTTAATCAAGCGGTTGTGGACTTCATAGGTAAGTTAAAGGTCTTCGTCTGGGTACCATAAAACCCCTTCCAACCTAATCCAGCATTGCATGTCGAGGTGAGCAGTGGCCCGGTATGAGCATTACATGCACTAGTCATATCAGACTACTAAAAATTACATCCTTACTCACTGACTTGGCCATCTTGCCTAGTATCCTTCGGCCGACCTCAATATTGCTCACAAGGTGATTCCACCAAAATGCAAGCAGTGCTGTAATGGCATTTGTAATCAAAACCCTGCAACTGCTTCATTTCTTCTACTTTCAACAGCCATGGGTCGCGGCTGCAAAAAAGAAGAGAAAGAAATACAGTATAGTAGTATACTCATACTTTGATAGATGGTCAGATGTATCGCCAGTCGGCAAATGCCAAATAGGCCTTCTGTATTCTAGCTGGGATTTTGTCATCAACCAGCTTGTTCAGGTTGATGCAACTTCACAAGTAAGTGAATCGGTTAACATATACCACCATTTCACTTCACTTTATTTGTACTAAATAAAAGGAATATATTCAATGTGTGGCAAACTGTGGTTTACTGCTGCGAAAATTATTCTCAGGATCTTTTAAAAATAGTACTTTTCTATGAATTATCCAAAGTCAGGATTGGAAAGACAACAAGATAGGCTTTCATTAACCTGAATTCAGTGTAGAGATCTACTGCACTCTAATCAGTATAAACAACAAGATCTGGATTTTCAACAACAATGTCAAGTCAGTGATTCTATATGATTCAGAAACTTGGCGTGTCATGAAAAGCATTTCCAACAAACAACAGACATTCATCAATAGCTGCCTACGCTCACTCGATACTGAAGAACAGATGGCCAGAAATAATAAGGAACAAGGAACTCACCGTGGCTGGTAAGGAACTAACCAACCAAGAACCTATCACTCAAAAAACATGGAGAAGGAAGTGGAGATGTATTGGGCATACACTGTAAAGACCATCTGGGGACATCACATGCCAGCCAGGCTATCGAATGGAAGCCAAATAGGAAACGATGAGTTGGGTGTCCGAGATAAGGGTAACATGTAAAGTAGATCATGTGAGAAAGAAATGAAAGCTTTTTCGAAATCGTGAAGCCAGGTTGGGAAGACTGGAGAGAAGACAGTATAATAGAGACGTGCAATTGAAGCTCTATGTTCCACTAGGAACCGAAGGGACAGATAATAGTAATGATAATGAATTGTCCAAAACGATGAATTGAAATTTCTATCATTTTCCTTCATACCTCGAGAATGAGAACACACTAGTCTACACTTTGGTGGGAAATTGCTAATTTACTTACAGACACGACATCTAGGCAGTTGGCTTACAATAAAAATTTATTTTTCTTCTTAACATATAAACGTTTTAATCATTTATTGCTGATAAAGATGAAATATAATTGATAAGCATTTTTTCTAAAATATGAACTGTAACATTGCGTCATAACATATTACATAATAAGCGGCTATATTAAAGAATTATGCTTATAATAGGCATACTGAAAGTGAAAGAAAGTTTGTGGGGATACATAGATTTTTCACGTTGGATTGACGTCAGTTATAGGAACATTGAAAACCTGGGAACACTGGATGACACTTTCGTCCGACTAGTATGGGACTCTTCAACGGCGTGCACACATGACCTCACACCACCAAGGATCGGACCCAAGACCTTCAAGAATCCAGTGCTCCATATATCTAACTTCTATCAGTGCACGACATAACGCGACCATTACCATATGTCATCTTTGAGTATTTATCCTCACCGGCATCAGAGTTGCCAGCTCCGATGTCCTACCAACTGAACTTGTTCACATTCTTCTACCACTCAGATTTTCATTTAATCTTCAATCATCACACATCAGTAATAAGGTATATCTGTTAACTCCTGACTACTATCTTAGGCAGTTGGAATTATAAAAAACGGTGTATACTTTTTTTCTCTCATTTATAAGACTAAATGTTCATATTATTTAAAAAAAAATTGGAATACATTTATTTCGTCACACTGTAAACTTTCCTACTCTTCTTCCACTTTTAGATGAATGAAACGAAATCAAAATGTGGAAAAATCCAAGGTAGACAAGAAAATCATGATTTTTCTATTGGAAATAGAACTGATGAAAAATTAAATGATTTCAAAGAAAAACTTAATGGTATGTGAAATGATATATTAATCTAATATGAATGTAAGCTATCCGCTATAATTGAATATCTGAATATTAACTAACATGACTGTAGTAATAAGTGAAGTGAACTGGATGATTGAGTCCCTACCCAGTTGCTAGCTCAATATTTACTTGTTGGCCATGCAACCTAAACGTTCTGCCTTTGACCCCATGTCGGGTCATAGGTGAGTACTACTGAGGAGTTCTATACTAGTCGAATGAAACAGCTTCTCAGTGTTCTCAAGTTCCCAATATTCCTTCAATTAATGTTAGTCTATGATGAATGCTAATTTGAAGGGGTCGCAGATTTCCCAAAAACCCATTCTATTTTTACATATAAAACTCAAACTACTTTTCATTATTTTCAGTAGCTTCAATTTAGTCGTAAATATATTTCAATTGTTTTCATGTTATTTTAAATTTTTCACACCTAGAAATTCTTAACATGTATCTCTGCCTTTATTTCTATCGGCTATATGAAATAATAATTTGATTCATATTGATTCAGAGAGATGTCAAGTTATTGTTAAGCAAAGATGAGAATAGAGATAATTTTCAACGTAGAATCCTTCGAATAAGTATCTCGTAATCAAGTCTCGAGTTAATAATCTTCAATCAGTAAAGTATTTTTACACAGATAGCTAAAATGTCCATATGCTTACACAACTACAAACATTTAACGGTGTATATACTGAAACTACTTACATATAAAATTTCTATGTTTATAAAAAAAGTAAATAAAAGACTGCAGACAACTTTTAACCCATTTGATGTGGTGTTCACTGATAAGTTGTGCTGAAACATATTAATTATCTGTAGAGATCTCTTTAACTCACTTTGGAGATTCGATATACTACCTACAGTAACATTTTTGACTCATAAACACATTTGTACAACAGAGATTCATTTACTATTCATTGACATACATCTTTATTCTCCATTGTTTCTTTTGTTCGATCGAATTGTTCGACCTCTATTGGCATATGGGCTCCTATGCAAATGCCTCAATATTGCCTACATGTTAATTATGATAATTTGGTTGATTGTGGCTAACAGAAGAATCCAGGATGCACGTTTCGTCCTATTTAGGACTCGACTGAGACTCGAGTCCCGTCCGGAAAAACATCGCTCACCCTAGGGAGATAGGTTTATCCAGCTAACGAGTCCGAAATAGAACGAAACGTGCGTCAACCAAATAAATTATCATAATTAACATTCAGTCAGTATCGAGCTGTCCGCATACAGGAGCCTATATGCCAATAGACGTCGAATAATTCGATCCAGTGAAACAAAGGAGAAATACAAGTATATGAACAAATAGTAATAACTAATACCCATTGTACAAGAGGTGGCTATCGTGCTTAATTAGCCTAATGGATAGCGATAGCAAGTTATTGTACAAAGCGTAGTAGTTATTACTATTTGTTGACATACATTGTTATTCTCCGTTGTTTGTTGTGTTGGATCGGATTTTTCGACCTCTGTTGGCGTATGGGCTGGTATGCGGATGCCTTGATATTGCCTGAATGTTAATTTTGATAATTTGGTTGTTTATGGTCAGCAGAAGAATCCAGGATACGTGATTCGTCCTATTTGGGATTCACTAGTCAGCTGGATGTACCTACACCCCCAGTGCGGAGTGATGATGTTCCCAGTGAGACTCGAGCCTCATACTTATCGCTTCAAACGCCAAGACGTTATTCACTATGCGAAGGAGGAACGATAGCCACTTCTTGTACAGTGGGTAGTAGTTATTACTATTTATTGATATACTTGTTATTCTGAGTTGTTTGTTGTGTTGGATCAAATTGTTCGACCTCTATTGGCATATGGGCTCTTATGCGGATACCTCCATATTGCCTGAATGTTAATTGTGATAATTTGATTGGTTGTGGCTAGCAGAAGAATCCAGGATGCGTGATTCGTCCTATTTGGGATTCACTAGTCAGCTGGATGTACCTGCACCCCCAGTGCGGAGTGATGATACTCCCATTGAGACTCAAACCTATACCCATCACTTCAACACCAAAGTGTTATCCACTATGCGAAGGAGGAATGATAGCCACTTCTTGTACAATGGGTGATAGTAATTACTATTTATTGATATACTTGTTATTCTGCGTTGTTTGTTTTGTTGGGTGGAATTGTTTGACCTCTTCTGCTAGCCACAACCAACCAATTTATCATAAATAACATGCAGGCAATATGGAGGTATCCGCATACCAGCCCACATGCCAATAGAGGTCGAACAATTCGATCCAACACAACAAACAACGGAGAATAACAAGTATATCAATAAATAGTAATTACTATCACTCGTTGTACAAGAAGTGGCTGTAGCTCCTCTGTAGCGTAGTGGACAACGCCTTGGCGTTTGAAGGGATGAGTATGAGGTTCGAGTCTCAGCGGGAACACCATCATTGGGGTGTAGGTACATCCAGCAGACTAGTGAGTTTCATATAGGATGAAACGCGCATCCTGGATTCTTCTGCTAGCCACAACCAACCAAGTTATTAGATATTCATTTATCTATCGGTATACATTTTGTTACCTTAACATTAGATTTATCTAGTTATGACGTAGAAACTCGGTAACACTAATTCAAGGTGTAGTTCGTGAACATTAGTTAATGCTAGTTAGCTGAGAACAAGATCCTTTATGCTCACTAAAATTATACAAAAGTATTAGTTCTTTTCCACTCTAAAACGGTATCACTGAAAATTCATAAGAGAATATGTAATGTCAAGTTAAATTTCATATTTCATTCACTTCAACTTGTAAATCAACATCTAGTCAATCTGTACTGAACCCAAAAGGTCTGATATCATAAAAATTGATTTAATTGTAAGCTGGCACAATTTATGAAGTATAAATTCCAGAAATGACAAGCAGTCTTACTTTTTGCTTGGTTGTAGCTACCAGAGGAATCCATGACATGCGTTTCGTTCTATTTAGGACTCGTCAGCTTAGTGTACTTGCACCCATCACTTCAAACGCCTTAGCGTTATCCATCAGACCAAGGAGGCACGATACAAAACTCTTGTAGAACGGGTATTAGTTTTTACTGTTTTGTTGATATGGAATGGAGAATTACAAGTATATCAATAAATAGTGAAACTTTAGTTAAAACTAATTTTATTCGGCAGAGATTATTTATTGCGAAGATGCTACACATTCTTTGATGCATAGACAGTAGTACTGTATGAAGACTTTATAATACTTTCTTTCTAATCGCTGTATCCACTTTCTGATTACGACACGAAGACGATGGAAGTGAAGACTTGAAAACGGTTGAATAAATATCGGCTGGGTTAACTGATACTTCTGTATCACACCAGACCTTCTTACTACTATTATTATTTATTATCTATCCCTTGGCTTCGTAATGGAACATACGGCTTCAGTAACACGTCTCCATTGCTCTCTGTTCTCTGAAATCTTTTGGACCTGGCTCCACAATAGCCTAGAAGCTCTCACTTCCTCCTCGCACTATCTCCTCCATGTCACCCTCAGCTGGGACGCCTAACTCTTTGCTTCCCATCTGAGTTCCACTTGAGCAACTGGCCTGGCACGTGATGTCCCTGAATAGTCTTCTCAGTGTATGCCAAATCAATTTCCATTTCCTTCTGCATATTTGTTGGGCGATAGGTTTTTACTTCGTTGGTTCGTTGTCAGTTACAATGAGTTTCTTGTTGCTGATTGTTTCTGGCCATCTGATCTTCAGTATCGAGTCAGCGTTAGCAGTTGTTGATGAATGTCTGTAATTTGTTGGAAATCCTTTTCTTAACGCGCCACGTCTCTGAGCCATACAGAAGCACTGACTTATTTGACGGAATTAGTGTTGAAAATCCGGATATTGTTCACGCTTTGTGCTGAGTGCAGAAGATCTTCACACTGGTTTCAGGCTAATAAACGCCTGTCTTACTTTCCTGATCCTTACTTTGACGTCCTCGTGCATGCCGTCTATTGTTGGAACATTGCTGCCTAGATAGGTGAAAGAGACAACTTCCTTCAAGTTTCTGTCGCTGCTAGTGACTGGTGTTTGTTGTTGTTGTTGGTTGCGTATCTTCATCACCTTTGTCTTCTCTATATTCACTTGAAGTCCCGTCTTCGCTGCTCTGTCTCTTCTGACAACTTGTTAGTTTTCGCCTGTAGATCTTCAAGTTTGTGTGACATTAGACAAGTCATCGGCGAAATTCAGATCTTCTAGGTTCTTTCCTGAGGTCCAGCGAATGCCCCTCTTCTCGCTCCTCATTGTTTGTCGCATGATCCAGTCCACTACAATCAGAAAGATGATCGGTGATAGTAGACAGCCTTGTTTTACTATTTTCTTTACTTCAAAGTATCACTGAGCTTCCTATTATGAATTACTTGGCATGTGGCGTCTTCATATAGTTGTTGAATGAGGTTGATAAGTGTTTTTGGTATTCCGTAGAGTTGAAGCAACTGCCAAATTACTTTTCGGTCGACACTGTCGAAGGCCTTTTCAATTCCAATGAAGTTGAGGTATAAAGTTGCCATTCTAGCATTCTATCCACTGTTCTATGATGATGCGTAGCGTTGCAATTTGATCCGCACATGATTTGTACTTCCTGAAAGACCTTTTTACTAGTAAATAAATATTTTTATCATATTGACTATCTGAGATAGCCGTGGTTTTAGCAGACTAGTATTGATACTAGGCGATAATTGAGGGTGAAATGAAAATTTGACCTTTGGCTGTATTCGAACCAGCGACCACCAGGTTTCCTGTTCGATGCCTCACCATTTGAAATGTAACCTTGCATCATAAAATACTGCATAATAAGCAGTATTATAAGAGAATTAAGCTATCAGTAAGTATACCCATAAGGATTTATAAGTGATAAGCAGACGGGAACCTCATAACTCAGTTGGTAGTGTATAGTGCCGGAAATCAGGTAGTCGCTGGTTCGAATCCTCCCGCAGCCCAAATTTTCATTCCACCTTCAATCATTATCCAGTATCAA